GGTTGGAGAACGAATGGTGTTTAAAAGAAATTGAAAGAAGAGAAGTTTTAGAACTATTAAACGAAACGTGGCTTGGTTTCTTTGGTGTTTGTCTCTTATACAAAATAGATTACTTCCGTCTCTCTTTGAAATTTTTTTCCCGTTTCACCACAATAAATTGATGTAATTCCCACTCGCTCCCCTCACCCCCTAAATTGTGATCTCACAGTTGTACGAACTACCGGCCACCTATCCAATCTCAACACTGATGTTGGATTTTCTACAACACTCGGCCAAAGAAGTGAAACGAGAAGACTCGACCGAATCGTCGGAGGCACCGCAACAGTCCGCTCCGATCTGCCAGATCACAACGGATCTTCGACACGAATTTGTCGCCGGATTGCAGCATTATTTCAATCTGATCGTCGGATCTCAATTGCTATACAAATTCGAACGACTACAATACGCGGAATTGCTCAAACAACATGCAGATAAACGCATGTCAGATATTTACGGCCCGATGCACGTACTACGGTTGCTCGGTTAGTGTCTGTCAGCCTTTGTGTGCACCTCTTTGCATTTTTGTGTAATTTTTCGGCACATGTTGCTTCTAGGGTTGTGCTCTCGATCGTTTTCTAGGATCCATACTCAGTGTATCCATTAAAAACTTCTCGAAGCTGTTAGGTGATACAGCAAAAATAACGTATGCGACGAAGCTGAGTAACCAAGGAAAAGGTGACAGGCTGTTGCCAATGATATTGTAGATAGAATACATATACACTAGCGTAAAAGGTACAATGTGGACAAAGTTGATTTGAGTTATCCATTTTAAGTGATGTGAATCGGTTATTACCACATTATAACTTACTGCACAATGCAAAAAAGGCGTATTAGTTTGACCGTCCATCTGCTGGCTTGTGAACATCTCATTAGTAGTAGGATCGGCATTGTCGAGTCTTCATCGATATCTCTACCTGTTTAGATTCTTTGCATCTCTTCATACCGTATATGTTCCTGTGAATGTTGCCTTATCTCAGTTAATCGTGTTTGGTAGTAGTTGGCCTGCTTGGTCTTGTGCATTCATAGTTGAACGTCGTAGTAGTAGTCTTCGGGTCATTTGTCCCGTAAGCTTCTAAAACAACACAGTCAAAGCATTTACACCGGAGATTACGGTTTTGCCCAATTGGCTGCTCTGTTCGTTCCATCAAACTATCTCATGCTTCATAGTAATACGTATCGACTGGCATAGGAGATAATGATGCTGACAGATTGCGGATGCGTCTGCATTTCACTTACTGTCTAGTTTGGATGTTCAGCACAACCTCACCCACCTCCTATCTTCCAAGCGTTGATTCCCTCCGCACGCTTCGAAATAACTATCAACTGTACAGTCTTCTGTTTGGTATTCTCATTTATTTATTTATTCTTTTTTGCAGTTAAACTGCGCGAAATGGTAGCAAGTACCAAGGTAGACGCGGCCAGTTTGCCTGTCTTGGAGGCTTTGGTTGCGGAATTTCTTGAGTAAGTTTGTGGCCAGCGTGGTTTTATTCAACAAATCAGGTGTACGTATGTGTAAGGGCTGGGGTGGGTTAAATGATTAAAACCAAGTATTTGTCGCTGTTCGCAAATCAATTGACCATTTGATTGCATATGCATATTACACATCTTCATACCGTGTGTGTGTCCATAGGCCACAGCCGTAATGCACACGTTCTTGTCTGCGTGCATCACTAGTTCAGCGGATTTTGTGCATTGACGAAAGATCCATGTCATTTTTTGAGTCGTTCTACGTGGGATATGCGACTTGGAGCATCTTCTCGGAATGCTGTTAGTGGGTAGAAGCAATCGGGTTTCGAATGCCGGTTCTCGATTGTAAAGTAATGAGGTGGAGTAGTGGACCAAATGCATGGTATTCATCTGTTCCTTGATTATGAGAAGGCTGGAACTATGCCCGCAGACACAAAGCCCATGAGTCTTTGGAGCATCACCGGTACCTCAGTCGTATCTGGCACATTCACACCCTCGGAACTTGTAGAACTAATTATCTATCTCTAGACAATAATTTTTTGCCCTTTTCGTCCCCCACATGCTTTTTCAAATAGTTAGCAGTCATTTGTATGCGATAAGTATACATTATTTTTCCTGAATACACATTTGGTGTGATTCCGAATAGCAGTATCCTTTTACTTCTCTCATAGGTTCCTAAACCAATCGAGGAAAAAATATTTCCGACTCGAGGACTATTCAGTGGCAACCGCGGAGTACCAACGGCGAGCCATGTGTTAATCTATCCACTCTCTCTCTCTCTCTCGCCACAAAGCGTTTTTTTTTCTATCGTTCACCCCATTAACTGTACACAATCTCCCCCACTGTCTCCTGTCCCGTCACTCCCCTCCTCCTGTACACATACTCACCCATTCGGCTGGATGCATTTTCTAACAGCTGCTGAGGTTTCAGCATGCTTTACAGATAATTCTAATTGTGAAGTAAATATTACTTCGTCAATATCAAATGCAAACAAGTCACATCCGTTGCATTCTTGCTTACACTAAAAGAGACAGAAACTGCGGGCTTACAGCACACACAAAATGGCCTGTTCCGGTTGTCTTGGTTTGATTAGTTCTATCAGCGTAAGTCAGATGTAATCTCGTTGAATAGGTTAGAGTTTCTCGTGCGCTGTCAAATACGTGAATTGTGGTGCTCAAACATTTCCAGACCACCTGCTGAAATTCGGGTACAGTGTGAAATTACACTTTTTTTAGTCTCATTGACTGACTTTCACTGCTTATAAATGAACCAGCAAAGATACCGGTAAGAATTACATTAAGCAGCATGTACCCCCATGTGTGAAGTGGTGAGAATGACAAAATCTTCGATTAGATTCGAAACGACGCATAAACTCCCGCCCCTTTGTACGAAGTACCCTGTACCAGCTAAACTACAAGCGGGTCGTAGTGTAATCAGATCAAACCCATGGATTTAACATTGTAGCTCAACTGACAGCGCCCGCCATACAGACACTCTTAATGTCCATACTTGCGTTCGAGGCCCCTCATCTTCGTGCAATTCGAAGATACTTTTTTCATGCATTTAACTGAACAGGTTCAGCGAAACACACCCGTTGCTAATGTACCCGTGAATAAGGCGATTCTCAAGCTGGCCTGGCGTTGTTGTCTTACCACTTAATGTGTCCCGTTGCTTGTGTACTCATCAAACTTGTATGCAAAAATCTTTAATATGGAATAATGAGATGGAGTCATAGTGGATCACAGAAACGATATCAAAGTTCTGACACCGGAATCTATCTCTTCTTCACGCTCACCTTGAACAGCCAATTTTCATCGAATAAGCTTGACATTTGCCACATGGTCAGACGTTCTCGCTCCGGACATCATCATTCAAATAACAGCAGTCGGCTCTCATCTGCACTTATTGTGATGCAAAACTCGATAAGCGTCTAGTCTAGGGCATTTATGCAATCCAGTGAGGAACGTCAAGAGAACCTTCCTCACTAGTGTCAGTGCGTAATTCGGAAGAGATTTACTTGCTGATGTAAATACACGCACCTGTTTTGCACATCGTTGGATAATGTAGGGTCGAGAATGATTACTAGTCAGACAAGGACTGATCGCATCATATCTATGCGCACTTTAGTGACTAGGCGGTTGCTGATGTTCGTCAGAACCTGTCACCAATGTTTGCTCAGGTTCGTTTTGGATATCCGTCCCAAGAGGAAACAGAACCAAGGATTATGGATTGTAGAAAAATTGTATTCTGAAATTTCCGATCCGATCAATGCAAGGAAAGGATGCAATACAGAGCTCACCCTGTGGAATTGTGCCGGTGCGGTCTTTTCGAGCTCATTAAAAACACGATAATAGTTAAATCAAAGCCTTATTCTTGAAGTGTCAAAGTTGCTATATCTGATGAAAAAACTTTCTCTAGAAGATCGCTATCGCCAAATAATGGCGATACATGCTAAATCTTGAAGGTACACAAGAATGTGCTCGGTAGGGAAGAAGGGTCCTTATGTTAGAAGGAAAAGATTAACGGTAGTCTAGCTCTTGTAATTAATCTACCTGATCGATAGGCTAAGTTACTACTTGATGGTTCTGATAAGTATGTCATGGTTATGTAACCATGTCCTGATAGTCCTCAATTACGCATGACCGGTTGGAAACTGATGCTAGTTACCAGCGTAGGACGAAGGTGGTTCTGGTCCGTGATTTGATGATCACGTCCAGCTTGAATGGATCTGCCAGGAAACTTAGAGAAAACCAAGAGGCAAGAACAAAAAACTCGTTTGAAGAACCGCTACAGCACCAAAACTTGTCTTGAACGTGGTTCACCAGATGCTTTCTACCGAGCAAGACCGATCTTTCTGATTTTATGACAGGTCGCATTTCATAGGGGGGGGGCTGGGTATTGCAGATATTTGATTAACAAAGGTAGACAGTCCTCAATGTCTCATCGAAAATACTTTACTCGTTGGCAAGTCGGAATAAAGATGTTAGTCAAACACCATGGGCCCCTACTTGCAACATTCTGGTGCCCGCCACAATAAATACATCCATGATACCGGATCTTTATCAAACAGGTAATAATTAGTCACACGAAAGTGAATGATCAAGTTACCAACCAAGACGTTGAAAACCGCGACGATTGATCTGTTTCTTTTTTGCAAACGAGCAGTTCATGCGCTTAGTCGCAGCTTGTGAGATGCACTTTAATAGCACGGATTCAGTAGACCTGAACTTGAAGATGATAGTTCCTATGTTCATCTATTGTTATACATCATATATTGATATCAGCTATGTTTGACAACTATGGAAAATTTCAGGAACATTCGACCGTATCTGGCATCAAGAACTGTTGGCAAAATTACAGACATTTGCGTATTTACTATCCATCCATATTGATGGGAATCTCCTGGTCCCTCCATCTGAGTGCTAGAACACGTCAATGTTTCTTGCTTTCACTTATTACGGTCTTTCCGTTCATCAACGATCTACTTTTCTTAACCCGTAAACAGATGCATGCACTGTACGTCCTTTTTTCTCTCCTCACACCAACATTGATCATGTCTTTTGTGTCGTCCTAGTTACAACCTAGGACGTACCTCCCCTTCAGGGGTTCCAGCAACCGCGTTCCTTTCGGTGCTTCCAAGAATTTCCACATGTTCATCCTCCCCAACAAAAAATAAAAGATCAGACTCATTCCTGCCATCTTCACTTTGCCTCCTTCCCTATCAGTTCAACTCTTTTCCTAACTGGCTTCAATGGTCTCCCCACAATACACTTTATTTACTTCTCGTACTGCGCGCAAGAAATCGATCTCTTAATCTCCACTAGACGACTCCTTACTCCAACCCACATTCCACTGCACAAAGCGCCTATTCCACCCTCTAATTTATCGTTGACGTTCAACTTGCAACCAATAGCTCATCGTTGGACGGTTGCTTTGGTGTTACTAATACTATGGATGTTGTTCTTCCGCGTTTCTATCAACCGCCACTCTAGAGTTCTCCTTTGGCCTGGGCAACCTGGCACTATTGCGCCCACTATTAAATCATGGACTCATATCTTTGTTATGAAGACTTCTGCACCGTGATTTGTTTGGAAGTAGTCTGGACTTAGACACGTCTGAAATGTATAGTGGTACTCTATGGAGTCTTGAGAGTTCACCACTCTTATCGGGTAACTGTTTCTATGTCCTCACCGCTGAATTCCGAAGCATCTTTTTCATTGAGCATGTACTCTGCCGATTCCCTCCGATAATAACATGATAATTGGAGCAATGCAAACTACCATTCCAATTGATTATCCTACACATAGTTACCATATTTACATCTACATATTCGTTTGTCATGAATGTTCATAACACCCATATTCACGCGTTAATTTGTGATTCTATCAATGCGATCGGTAAATCTTTGTCCCGACCCTGTGAATTCAGCTCCGTACTATTGCCGCGCTAGTCGACTTCCCTATGGTTCCTCCGCCGACGACGTGGAAGGCCACCCCCCCCCCCGCGCATTTTCTATCTTCTCTTCGTTCT